CTCTGCATCAGGGAGCCACGGTGGCTAGGTGGGTAAGGCGCTGGCTCGCTAGCCTGGAGGTCGGGTGTTCAATCCCTGCATTGGCCGAGAAAGTTTATCCCGATTTTCCAGCGTGGTTCCCCCTTGTCAGTGATGCAGGACGGAGGGCCTGACAAGGACAACTGTCTAGTCCTTCGGATGATACGAAAAACCGAGGTCCCGTGTAAACATTGGAATGCACGTAAAAGATCCCTTGGCAGTTGGAATTCGATATAAGGGTAGGCGATGGTGTCGCTGCCCGGGCAAAATTTCCCTCATAGCACACTGTATGGCGTATGCCCGTCTTCATTACCCCAGTATAGGAGCAGAACAGTAGGACGTTAAACCCCATTTCATTTCATTCCATTTCATTTCATTTCATTTCTCTGCATCAACTGGGCTGGTAAGGACGGGCATACTCTATTCAGTTTGTTATTTTGCCCAGACAACGACGTTTCGTCGGATTCTAATTGTGATCTGGGACTAGTGAAATGAAATTTGGTTTAACGTCATACTTTTCTGAACCATCAGGGATAATGACGACGGATGGGACTAGTTATGGACGGTCAATACTAAGTTGGGATACACTCATGTCACCCGCGTTGTTAAAGTATGTCTTAGTCCTTACCAAATAGCCCAATTGAAACTATTAACCCGGTTTTAAAGATGTACATGTGTTTGGTTAAATAATATTTAATATGTCATTCGTCTTAAATACATTAACGTATTAGTGAACGCGTATTCTCATGTTTATAGCATACAAGTGTCGTGGTTTAACTCGGTACCCGGTTTGGTTTTGTATCAAATAGATGCATAACCGATGTAGTTTTTACGGAATACCATGTGCAAAGGACCGAATTAACCCGGACTATGTTTCCACCGATACAGTTAGCTATTAGCTGTGATGGTTGATAGGTGTCATGTGCGAGGCAGTGTGTGCTCACATGATACTACTTCGTATTTGAAGAGTTCATATAACTAATAGATTTATGCTGTAGTATTGTGTTTCTAAGCGGCATATTGCTTTGTTTGAGAGAACTTTATTTCGTGTTAAAAAGTGATTATAAAAACGAAAAACAAGACAAACAGTAATTTTTAAATCTGTTAGAAAATAATATCTATTTGTGAACTATAACCTAAGGAAAGGTGTCACCATGATCAATACTTCCAATAGGAAGTGGCATCAGATGTTTAGAAACAGTGGCAAATCATTTCTCGTTAGTAGCACTACTGAGCTATAGCGGTAGAGACGACACCCTTGGGTCCTATAAATCCTCAAACACGACCATCTATCAACTTATTCAAATATTGGAGTACCTGAAAAATCAAACGGGTCAAAAATAACAAAAAGGGTGAAAAGTTCCAAAAGGCCCAAGTGGCATGTAGTTCTTATTCGTTATTTAAGTTTCCATCGAAGTCCATTCAATTACATGTTCTTATGTCGTTGGTTCGTGGGAGGAGAAGTGGGTAGGGTTTGGATTTGTCACAAGAACACAAATATTTCATTTCTGCTTGACCTACATGTATATCTAACTACTTCTTTAAATGAAGACTATCAATTCCGAATCCGAAGGTATGAATCTGCGAATAAAACTAGTACTAGTAACAATTGTGGATTCTCCAGGCACCAAATGGTGGTCATTTAACCACAGAGCATGTCGGTCTTTACAAGAATCTGTGAATTAGCCGAGTGGTATGGAATCTTTGAATTTTTAATGCTGGTCATTCACTGGGCATACACTGGGCGCAGGCTGTCTCTGTGTGACTCTTAATCTGGAACGATTTGGATTTGAATTCTTGGCAATCAACCACGCCATATGACATCAGCGACACACTCGTTTGATCTATGTGGTAGTTATCTTGTTTGATACACCATGGGCTTATGGAATAACTCGAGTCTATAATTTTATTTTTCATATTCGCTACACATATCATATAAATATATGGTTAATGGGTCGAACAAATAACATAGTTATCCTCGTAAATCAACCGACAATTCGGTTTGGACGCACCTGGACTTTGTAATTGTTGTTTGTCTTGATCCTGGGCTTACATTTGTTACTGAAAAGCTTACCATACTAGAATTATAAAATGGGGTTTGCAATCTGTATTTGGACCCAAAGGCTTCAAAACTACAAACGTCAAATCACAGATAAAATTGAAGTCGACACTCGACCCACAGTCAGCTTATCTCTCTCGTCATAGAAGAACCGAAACAGCATTACTGTGTGTGCCTGATGCTGTAAAATCTATAATGTTGATTCGAAATAGATAATAATATGAGTGTTGGTTTTTTTGGATCGGTCATCAGGTTTCGATACCCAATAGATTCTTGGATCTGGTCCATTCTAAAATTGTTTTCAGCATTTCTCATTTGTGGAAGGTGTCAACAGCTAGCATGTGGTCTCCCACAAGGATCTGCTTTGGGCCATATGATCTTCACTATACATACTAAATCTTAGGGTCGAAAACTGCTGATGACTTCTGGCTTACTGACACATTCATTCCGGTTGATTAAGATAGTTTTGAAAATAAATTTTGACATCGGATATCTTCCAGCATGATGAAACTCAACAATGGAACAACTGCACCCTAAATCTATCAATATTTAAAAAAAACCACACAATTCCAGTGTCTACAACCGTAAATAATATTTGGGATTTTTTAGACTATCTTTTTAGATTTGAAGATCATGTGAACAACATCTCTAAAATATGACATTACTATCTATGAAGGATCGGGGCCGTGTGTCATCTCACAACAAGAGATAATGCTGCTGCCCAGAATTGACTGCTGTAATTCTTTACTAACTGTAATATTAGTCACAAACAAGTATTGGTCCTGTGTTTGAAGAGGGATTTAGTTTGAAATTGTATCTTTAACTTAACGATCTATTAACAAATCTGCTCCAGGTTACTGCCTTCGATAATATTGTCTACAGAGATATTATACAATAAATATCTTTTTATCATGATTTCCTGCTTAAATAGCCCATAAAAGGTTTTGACATTTGATAGGGTCTTAATATGTAAATAATGCGATGTAATTAGTGCTTTTATTCTACTGCCAATGGTTGATGTGCTGTCATCGTAATGTAGCTTAACTCCCGCTGGACTTTAGTTAATATAAAACCATACGGCCGTAGACATCTTTCTCTCTATAATTGTGACAACTAGTGATTGATTCTTTATCACAAAGATTTAACAAGATGCAGTTTTCTTCCTTTTACAATATGGGTTTGCAGGTCGAAATTTACGAACATTCTCAAACTATAGTCATACGGGCACATATCTTCAACTTGGCTATCTAATCTATTTCTTCCTCAAATCCTCTACGGTCGGAAAATGTTACCTCGTTTGGTTTAAGAATCAGTTTTGGAGTATATTTATGTTATTTACGGTCACCGCTCAAGGGATTTGAGAGACATTTTAGTAGGACATGACCAACGTGGAGATTAATGAAGTTTCTGCATGTTAAGACCGTCAGATTTGTAGCTGAAAAGAAAATACAAATCGTCTGATTTACATACTTTTTGTAGACAGCAGTATTATTTTGATGCAAGTCGACCGTTTTAAAGTTGAGACTGTCAATTCAAATAAAGATATATTTTTATATGTATTTATCGAAAGTAAACATGGAATTACTGGTACTTTATATACTTTAATCTCTGTGTGTATAGACTTATGGCTGGTAAAAACGCGATGAAAGGTATAAATAATATTTTTACAGAGAAAGTGTTGGGTAATTTTTGTGCACGGCTTAACTCTCTACGGAGTAACTTCCATATCCGAAATGTAAGATATTATACTAGTTCGAATCATTGCTTAATTAATAGTTGAGAAAAATAAAAGAAATAAAGAAATAACTAATTGCCGTACAAATTACACTGCAATCAAAACTATTAATTAAATTCATACATCCAGATGTTGCCAATCAAAAGTACTAATTACGATCGTATCGCTAAGTGACATAAATCAAACGTAAATTGTTTTTGGGGTATATACTCACATAACTTTTAACCGTTAATTTTATATTGTACATCAAACGGTTTTAATTTCCGTTCGTTGTGTTTAAAACAAGATTAATGCAAAAGTTAGTCAATGGCAAACAATGTGCATCCAGCTCTGTGTCATGTGCATCTAAGAGAATTTCTCAAAGGTTACATCTAAGAAAATTATTCTCAAAAAACATAATTTTACTGCCAATCTGACAAACTTCTAAAGTCAAATTTATATTGTGTTTGGTGTTATTATTCCCTTGCGTTTCGTATCATAATTGTTTGATTTCATAAAGAATGTATTATCAGATTTTTAACACTCCAGCAGAAATTTTTTGATCTTTGAACGGAAACATGGAAGTTCGATTACTTTATTTCACACTAAAATCGTGAAATTGACAAGGGAATGCTTATCATCGATTTCAATATCTAAGGTTTAAAGATTTTTAACCCATCGGGCCAAAACTCCGCAAAGGGATATCTAATTGAAAGGGTTGCTCTTGTTGTTTCTAACGGTTTTCTCTATCAAATGGCACCACGCTGAACAACTTACTGTGGCATGCAGCTTTTTTTTTGTTTTTAGGTTGAAATCTCATCAAATATTCCATTGATATTCATTATTTTTCTGCTGTACGAAGTGTTTTGATGCTATTTGATGACACTATCTTTCAATGCATTTATCGTCAAATGTTTGATGAAAGTGAACACAAGACCCATAAGACCCTATCGCCAGGGGGTTGGTTCAATAAAGAAAAAAATAGACTATATTTCAATTGATCTCTGTTTTCAATGGATAACTAACATTTCTTCTGTCCATTTCCATCAAACATCACTCTTTTAATTTGTATTTCTATTGACCCATATTTCCTAAGAAAATCTTGTTTCCTCTGATCGAACTTGCCCCTCGCTTTTCTTCATTTCTATCCGCATAGAATTACACCGCTTAATCGTTAGATGGCGCCAGCGGCTTACACGCGTGTGGAAATCGACTAAATGTTCACTTGATTGAGCGAGCCCATACCAGTAAGGTAAAAAGGCCGGTCTTAGTGTGTAATAATGCTTTAGTATCGTAAACATGTGGAAAACTGCCCCAATAAGTATCATAATACTTACTTTGGGGACTTTCTTAAAGCAATGCTCCACCAACGACAATGCAAAACGACTTTACGATGACTTGTTGAGGAAAAGGGGCTACAACAAACTCATCAGACCCGTTGGTAACAACAGCGATAAACTTACTGTCAAGCTAAGTATTCGACTTTCGCAGCTTATAGATGTGGTAAGTAAAACGATATATATACTTTATTTACATTATGTACACAAAAACTTCAAAATCTGTGTTTTTGTTTTTGTAAAAATTTGTGTAAAGAAATCCTATACTTTTATCGATCAGAACAAATACTGTACCATAACAACTAACACGTGCAGGGCCACATATGTATAGTATATATTAATAAATGTGGTATTTTTAGAAACGGTAGCATATTGTATATCTATTAGAAACATGTAAGAGAAGATATTCTTTAAAATGTAGTTATTTTGTTATACAAGTTACAATAGAAAACTTGTTTACATTTTGTTATTGTGTTATTACCCATATCTTATTGTCAGCTATGTTTGTAAATATAAACTTTTCTTATATAACAGATTTGTAAAAAGTTTATGTAAATATCTTTCATATTGATTAATTAAGTCTCCCATTATATAGCAGAGGGTGAAATTTGATTATAACTAATACATTTATACATTTATAGTTGCAGTAACATATTGTAGACTGGGGCGTGTCTTCCATTTGTTCTATATAATAAAGTAATTATGCCCCTTTATTCAATTACATAAAGTATGTTAAAATTTGGTTATAACTTATATCCATATATAGTTACAGTTATATGTTTTGAGTTTTTCCATGATTATAATCATGTAATTGTGTCCCTTGGGGTTATTTTTGTTATTAGTTTTAATTTGTTTATGTGCATGAAAGGCAAAACCCATGAATCAATTTTAATAAATCAAAATAATGACAGCAAGGTAATAATAAACATCAACTACAAATAAAGCAAATTAAAAGTAAATATTATTTTGTACACAGGTTAACACATTAACATTAACTCTCTGTGTGTAAAATAAATACAAAGTATAAAGTTGTCATTGTAATGCATTAAACAGAGCTATACAAACTTTCGTTTTATATTTAAAAATGTGCTGTGGCATCATTCTTAAATTGATTTGACATAGATTTAAGTTATAAAGTCACACAATATTTAACTTAAGTTATGGTGGACATAAATATATGTAAGGTTTCAAATTATTACCAAATTGATTTGATATACATTTATGTTATAAAGTCACACCATATTTAACTTAAGTTATATATATGTAATGTTTCAGATTATTACTAAATTGTGGGGAAAATTGGAATTGGTGAAGATATACACGTTTCTCGATATTTCGAAAATTAATTGCTCAGTAATGACGTTATTTATTAAGCTTATGTAATTGACGAATCAGTGCTAATTAAAATTAATAATGACAGAAACAAATAATACTAATTTCAATTAGTATAATTGTTAGTCATTGTGTTAAATATAAACAATCAGTGTTTAAAGTCTTATATCTGTTAATCTTAAGTAATAGTTTTAATAGAATACAGAAGAATAACCGATCAATACACATGACTAATCTTTGATCATAACAACAGTTATCTAATTCAATATTTGTTATTTATCGGTGGATTAATCAATTAAGCGGTTCTAGTCATGTGTTAATCCACGAAGGCGCCAAATCTATTAATAGAAGCTTAAACACGTGGTACTAATTATATTTTACTAATACATAGATTAAAGTCTAGATTTACAATAATCGGTTCAAGTGGATGTTATGAATAAACAAGTTTTAACTCGAAATATCAAACAAAACAGTTCTTTAAGAATCGAAATCTTTTTGACTTGAACAACTATTATTAAAGTTATTATGAAGTAATTTGTTTTTACATAACGTCAGATGAGTTATTACGTTTACAGTTTTTGCATATAACGTCAGTTGGGCTATTATGTTTACGATCTTTGCATGGAACTGGACTGAAATGAAACTGGGTTTAACGCCATACTGTTCTGCACCGACTGGGCATACACCATACCGTGGACTTTGACGGAAATTTTGCCAGGATAGCGGCGCTGTGGCCTACTTTTATTCCGAATTCCAACTGCTAAGGGATATTTTACGTGCACGCCAATACGTACACGCATGGTACCTCGTTTTGTCGTCAATCTGAACGACTAGACACACTTCCTTGCCAGGCCTTCCGTTCTGCACCACTGACAAGAGGAAATCACGCCAGAAAAATCCGGAGAAACACATTGCATATAACGTCATTTGGGCTTTTACGTTAAAATTTTAAAGCCCCCGTCTCAGTTCAATATAGCATACATTTCGAAATGTATATAATTTTAAAGACCATAGTTCATATTTGTTACGAGTAATGACACATGTCGTCCACGAGGCGGAGTATGCTTATTCATATACAATGCGTTATATCACTTCTTATTAGAATAGTTAATCTCAGCGTACATTCTTACCCCTGGAATAAATTCAGTGCAGCGCTTAAAATACGTTTCATCAAGATCAAAAGATACTTCCATCAAGTGTTATCAAGTTTACATCAACTGCTTTATATATTATATTGCTTGATTAAATTTTAAACTATATTACAAATTGCTAGGGTTGTTAGATGATTAAAGATAGTACAACTCCTCAACCATAGTCGTGCTGCATCCTAAGGTCTGTCATTGAGTCAACTGGCGTGGTTTCGATTCCCCGGTTGTACGTGACAAGCAGTAGGGTCGCCTGTCAAACCTCGTGGGTTTCCCCCAGCCCCCCCCCCCCAACTGCTAGTCCCGAAATGGCCTAGTTTGTGTCGAGTTGACGTTAAACCCGATTTCTCACTCTTTATCCACCATAGTGTAAAATGACGTCACTTCAGTTCCATTATGGGTATCGTCAAGAGTTTATATGAAATTTGGCATACTCTTCCGAATCACGCAAAACTGTCATGAAAGTAAACACATTGTTGGTATATACCTAGAGATGGCGGGGACAGTGTCTTGTCCCTATATTTTGAAAGTAATTTGATTTATTAATGTCGTGATACACATTTATATCCTTATTCATCTTCAAATGACCTTGGCAAAACCCTGCTGATCTGTCATTATACGACAATTAAGCAGCAATTTAAGTATCAATCCATTTCCTCTTGGATGGTATCTATTTCCTATTTTAAGAAAAGATTTATAAGATAAAAGGTGTGTTTTGAAATACACTAGATGATCAACCCATCATCATTAGGTAATAATAGCTCAGGAAGTCCAAAACAATAGGAATTCGGATTGATTTACTTCCCAGCGAACCACTGACTACCTTCGGAATTAAAGTGTCAATCTCGATGATATTTTGGAGAATAAAACTGCTTAAAGTTGCAATTTCATATTATTAAGTTATATTTTTAAAATGTATTAAAATAAAGCCTTAAAATAGATGGTATCTATAAACAGTCCTACCTTGTTAAAGAATAATCCTATTAATCCTATAATTCACTATTGCCAGTTGAGAAATTGGCAAAAATATCATTTTCATCGACAAATTCAAACGTTTGAAGTTAGCTACTCCATGGTGGAGAATAGAAAACAAGGGAGGTAATTGTGTTATTATTTCCGGTGTAAATGAGTTTTAAGTGTGAGAATGACACCTATGATCGTATAATAGTGAGTTGACAACCTATTAAGCAAAAGACATAGAAAAAATTATGTTTTGACTTTCTTAGAAAATATGAAATTGTAACTTTAATGTTGTGTTAAAAGCCCTTAGAACCCTCTACCTTAGTGCCGAGGAATTAACGCAATATACGCGATACGTTTTCAAACATCTTTAACCCGTCCGTCTTCATCTAGTGCCCCAGGTTGTATTATACGGTGTCTGGATAAAACCAAAATTTTATTTTATAAAAATAACGTGTAGGTGGAATTTACCTTTGGCTATCATGTACAGCACGTGGGTAATGCACTGTATATGCCTCTAAAAGAATGGCAATAGATTATCGGGTCACCCAACAAAAAAATTGATCCGAAATATTAAAAGGGTTTCGTGTCCGGATAAACGGTTTTGAAGTTCACGTTCAAACAACTCAATATTTTGAGCTGAAATTTTGAGAAAAGGTAAATATACCATTCCTCTATAGTTCGGCGCTTAAATTCCATACATACATGGACATTTATTTCCGATACTCAGTTAAAATCGGAATGGTCCCTTTAATGTATACTGCCAATTTATATTTCCGAATCTGTGGTTAGGTATCAGAAGGCAGAGATTCTTAAATTCCCAAGTTCTATTAAATTCCCTAGTTCTATTAACTTTCCTATAAATTCCCTAGTTCTATTAAATTCCCAAGTTGTATTAAATTCTACCTCAATGACTAAAGCATAGAAATTCATACTCACTAATAATTTGAAAAAAAAACCAACTAATTTTTATTTTGATTGGCTTTGACTGTAATCATAGCAGCGAACGGAAAGTAATGAACTTTTTGACTGACTGGCATTAATCTTTCAAAAGACCGAAAGTCTGATGTTTTTGCCTTGGTTTTTATTAAGTTCTAAATGTACATGTGGTATATTAACTATTTCGTGTTCTTATATTGCCTACCAAACCAATAACCAAATGCTTACGTGTGATCCGGCAACCTACACTATTTACACAAATATATTGATACAGATTCAATATCAAGATTGGGATCCCTCCATTTGCATCTGTCAATCACATTGTCGTGGAAATGTCTTTTGATTCCAACCACTTAAAAAATAATCTAGATGAAGCAAGCTGGCTGTGCTGTTTGATTGATCTATCGAGATGGAACACTCACGACGAGTAAGAATGGTTGGAGATTAGAGAAATCGTATAACTGTGCCACTGACAGATTTTGTGTGGTTCAAATCATCGACCTATAACAAACAAAGAATTAGCCATTTTTAAGTATTCCCTAAGTAACCATCACTGATTCTTGTCGTTACTTTGACATTTTTCAGAAATGGCTGCCAAACACAAGCTTCTGAAAATAACGGTCATCAAAAGACCAATGAACTACACGCCATCAGTTTAGTGTTTCTTATGAAAGCTTTTTGGCTTTATATATAACACACCATGATATACTTAATTGTCAGAAATGTATTTTTTATTTCTATCATTTTTGCCGGGATGTGTGTTGGGCATCTTTGGTTTACGAGCTACAAT